CCTTTTTTTGAGTTGAAGTCTTACCGTGTCGCCAGGCTAGAGTGCAGTGGCATGCTGATGGCTGTCCCAGCATTGACCTGCTGGGCTCCGGTGATCCTTCTGCGTCAGCCTTCCAAGTAACCAGAACTACAGGCACACACTACCATGCCTGGCTAATTTTTTTATTTATTGAAGAGATGAGGTCTTGCCAAGTTGCCCAGGCTGTTCTCGAACCCGTGGGCTCAGACAATCCCCTCACCTCGGCCTCTCAAAGTGCTGGGATTACAGGCTTGAGCCACCGTGCCCAGCCAAATTTGTTTCTAAATGATAAAAGAGAGATTTCAGGATGCTTTTTACAAATATCCTTTAGTAAATAACATTGATACTATGAGTAACTTTTAACTTCCAGTAAATAAAATGTTAAGATGGTGATACTCTTTTTTTTTTTTTGGAGTCTCACTCTGTCTTCCAGACTAGAGTGCAATGGCTGCTCCCGGCCACCGCAGCCTCGACCTGCTGGGCTCCGGCGATCCTTCCGCCTCAGCCTTCCAAGTAGCTGGAACTACAGGCATGCGCTACCACGCCCAACCAATTTTTTGATTTATTGTAGAGATGGGGTCTCGCCAAGTTGCCCAGGCGGGTCTCGAACCTGCGGGCTCAGGCAATCCACTCATCTCAGCCTCCTAAAGCACGGGATTACAGGCTGAGCCACTGAGCCCAGTGAATAATTACTTTCTTGAGCCAGTACCTCAAGCCTTTTGATCCTAACTTTTTTCTTCAATGTATGTGACCTTTTTTTTCCCAAAAAGATAGCTCCTACCCTAAATTGCTCTTCCAAAATTTTTATAAACTTCAAATCTTTGCTATTTTAAATGGCAGTGTATTCTATTAGTTCTTAGTTCTCTTTTGAATTATTTCACAAAAAAATGATTTTGGTGGTGAAAACTTAATCCTCGTTTGTGCTATGAAAACTTCACTTTGATATACTTGGATTTATTGATCAGAGATAAAGGAAGAGCCACCATATGATATTGAGAGGACAGTTTATTTATAGAAAAATAAAACTGTCTATCAAATAGATTACTGCCCTTAAACACATGTTGTACAGTTATTCAGTACTTCTCAGTAGACTCCAATTAACAAAAAATTCTGAAGAGGGTGATTTATTGAGTACTTTATATGCTGCTACCATGTCTTTGCTTGTTATGTTTTTCCTTATTCTGGGGTAATTGGCCTGCTCAGTTACTGGGATTCTGTTTCATATATCAGGGATATAATACACAAAAATCAAAAGCAGCCTCAGCTTCCTCATCAATCTTTGTTATCCTTTTTTTGTGTGTTTGTGTCATTCTTATTTCCTTTACTGAATTTAAAAGGAAGCAGTTCTTAAGGTGGAAAGAAGCTTGAGTTTAAGATCTGTGTAGCAAATGCTTATGGAAAGAATAATGATCATGTATGTATATAGTGTTTTGTTTCTTGAAAAGTATGTTAAAATGTTAGTTTTTAAATCTCATCAGCAAATGTCAACCTGACATTTATAAAGACTGTCTTTCTTGATTGTTAAAGTAAACATAAGTTTAAGATTTGTTTTGAATGTATTAGCATTGATCTTTTGCTTTTAGACAGTTATACTCTAGCCCTTTGGGCAAATTTTGGTATGTTCCTCTGATAGAGAAAGGAAGGGAGATTGTTTCTTAGAAAACATCATAAATGGATTAATAACACTGATTGAAACATATTAATTTATATAGGAGAGAAATTTACAGAATTTCAGAGTTTACTTTTGGAAGCATTGGGAGTAGAGTGCAGGATCTTGAGCCCAAGAAAAGGGTCTGGAATTAAGACAAGAAAATACAAAACTTGAAACTCTTTGGTAAATGATATAAGGCCTGTTTCACAGTGTGGTTGTATACTGTTTTAATTGCACAAGTGGTAGCTAAGTTCACCCTCCTTTTTTGTGAAATAAGGCAAAAGAAAGTTAAGAACTAAAAATTAAAAAGCATTGTCAGATAAAAGAGAAGGTTGTCAAAAGTTTATAAGAATTTTGGAGAAGAATTTTGGAGTCCAGAAAATGTGCCTTCCTGGTAGTGGTCACAGACTTAAGGAGAGAGGGAGAGAGGTCTAGAATTAAAAGCTTTGATTGAGGTGGTGCAAGTGTGGACAGACGTTCATAGTTCTTGTCCTATTATCTTCTTAAACCACAACAGTCATCAGCACAGAGGACTTCTGTGACTTAATGTGTAGGCGTGGGGTTTTGCCAGGCACCGAACAGCAGACTCCAGCTGGGTGTCCTCTAACTCAGTTCTGATGCTGTCTTCCTGGAGATAACCTCATATTCCACAAATAGAGGCCCAGTCTCCAAAAACCACTTTTTCCACTCCACCCTTTCCAAGTCCGGGCTTCTGAAACTTCTCACCAACTACCTCCAAGTTGAGGGTTCCAGGACCTCCTCTTTGGGTTTGGTTAACTTGCTAGAACAGCTCACACAACTCAGGGAAACACTTTTACCACATTATGGCAAAGGATATTTTAAAGGATACAAACTAACAGCCAAATGAGGAGACACACAGGGTGAGATCTGGAAGGGTCACAAGCACAGAGCTTCTGTGCCCGTGGACCTGGGGTACGCTGCCCTCCCACCACATGGATGAGTTCTTGTTCACCCTTCAGTTAGCCTCCAGGTGGTCAGCTCTCCAGAAATCCCTCGATCTTTTCCTCTTGAATCTTTTATGGAGACTTCACAGGATAGACTTGATTGAATTGTGGACAGCTATATCAGGACGGGATTGGACAAGGGCCTGTCTGTCTAGACTCTCCTTGGCCTCTCTGTGCCGCGTTTCTTCCTCCAGGGTATGGGTAGGACCCTCTCTGGAATGGGAATTTTATGTCGCGTAGTCAGATTAAAGTCCTCCCTTAGGTAGGTGAAAGGAGGACAGGAGATGGCCAAAGAGGGAGATTCTGTCTCCTGAGGCCTCAATTGCCCCAACTTCATGACAAAAGACTATAACAAGGGTTGTGCGAGTTACAAGCCAGAAACTGTGGACAGAAACAAATATATATGTACAAGGGGGGACCCCAAAAAACCCAGAATTATTTTTTTGGCTGGCAAGCCCCTTGTAGTACAGGCTTCCCCTGCTAGGTAAATGTTCTACGAACCCATTGACATCAGCATACGAGCAAGTGTTATGAGAGACCACATTTGGCTTCAGTGAATTTTTTTGGAGATTCTTTCAGTGTGTTTGCCCATTTTGTGATGGGCAATTTACAAGAGCACCTGCCCATACCACACTGAGTGTTAGCAGTTTTTGACTAAAATCAGCATGACCTTTGTACCTCACCCTTCCTATTCACCTGATCTTACCGAGTGATTTTTTTTTTTTTTTTTTTTAAACCGGGATGAAAATCCTCAAAAGAAAGGTGTTGCTGATGTGGAAGAGGTGAAACAAACAAACAAATGACAGAAACACTGAAAGACATCAAAATTGGCAAGTTTAAAAACTGTTTTGAGTAGTGGAAAAAACATCTTGTTAGATGTATTATGTCAAACAGAGAGTACTTGGAAGGTGGCTGAAGTTTAAACATGTAAGAATAAATACACAATTTTTAAAATAAATTCTATTTTGGGGGGGCTCCCCTCTCATATAATCCCACAAGTGGAAATTTAAGAATAGAACATAATATTTTATTAATAATATATTAGACCAGACTCGGTGGCTCATGCCTGTAAGCCCAGCACTTTGGGAGGCTGAGGCAAGAGAATCGCTTGAGCCCAGGAGTTTGAGATCTGACTTGGGCAATATAGCGAGACCATGTCTCTACAAAAAATATAAAAATTAGTCTAGCATAGTTGCACGTGTCTGTAGTTCTGGCTACTTGGGAGACTGAGATGGGAAGATCAGAGAGAAGCAGGTGTGTCCAGCAGAATGTGGCTCTGGCTTCAATGACATCCCTGGAGGAAGTAGGATATGACACGGTGCAGCTGATGGGGAAGACGAGGCCCCTTGGCACAGCTCTTGGGCTGATTTTGAAGGTAGTAAAATCAGATTGATGGAGAGTAGGTAGGGGGTGTTTGTCACGTTGGGGCGGTTTGAAGGAGTGGTGGATTGGAAACCAAGAGATGAAGAGAGATCAGTGGATGGTAGATGACTGCAGTAGATGGGTGCAAAAACCTTGAACACCAGAGTAAAGGTTAATCATGTTGGTGTTATTTTTATTAAAAATGACCTATTTTTGAGAGTCTGTGCAGTTTCTTCCAACATTTCATATAAACTTAAATGACCTCACCAAAAGCCATTTTGGGAAGGAGGAAAACATCTCAATACCTTTTTCTCCCTTTGTCAGAGCGTGACAGAAGGTTATAAAAACAAAAAACCTTCCTAGGAGGGTTCAGTGATTTTGTGAATTTTGGTCACTAAATTA